CAGTCGAAGTTCCTTTGCTGTGCAAGTTAATTTGGGTAACCTCTACCCCCGACCAGCCTATTTGTGTGAGCTAGCCCTTAGGTTGAGATTCTTCCGCCCTCATCCCATCGCTATGGGACCGTGCCACCTTGACTTGTTCGATCCCATAGCACGTCTTGAAGTCTAGTCCTCTCAATTTGAGTAGGCTAGACGGCTCCAAGATGTCGAAAATGTAGTTCCTCCCCTCCGGCTTCTACATTCTCGGCAAAAATGCGCCAGCCCAGAGCACCGACGCCTGGATTCTGTCTCTTCCCTGGCAAAAATAAAGTGTAAATAAAGAATTGAGTGTAAGTCGAATGTAAGTGAAGAATGACAGAAATGTAAATCTTCTAAGAAGCGTAGATTGGAACAATGGAACGTAAAAGAAGCATTAAAATGCTTTGCAAATGTTTTACGCTTCTTTTATATTTCGCCGTTCCAATCTACGCTTCCTAGAAGCTCTTTGACTTACGCTCAAATTTTTATTTCCACCTTATTTTCGCCAGGATCCAGCAGCGCCAGCATATCAGTCGCAGATTTCGGGGGACCGAAAGCCGAGGTTTCGGGATTTAGACCACTGCCTTGTGCCGCTTTTGAAGCTCCTCCAAACTCATCACTCCGAGCTTAGCGCCCTCCTATGGTGAGATGAACCCCACGCGGCCTGAGAGACACCTTATCCCCTTAACAATGACAGCTCCGCTCCTCAGAGTGACTGTCCCTACGAAGCGGGGGAAGAAACCCTCCGGACCTCCCCCATTTCCGCCAGAATCGCCCTCCTGAACAAGGTCAGCTGTTCCGGAGTGATACTCCTCTCGGGGTGGGTGGGTCTCGTTAGCGCACAGTGCGATAGCACACATCCATATCAGTCGCTGCTTAGAAATTTTTCAATGAATCACTAATCAGAAAATTTTATATTTAATTGGCCAATCGGCATTGTGTGCTATCGGATCCCTTTCCTCGGGGTATCCCTCCAGGACAACCGCTCTTGCCGCTCTAATGGATCCGCTATCATCGTGTAGGGCGCAGTTTCCTGAGCCTTAGATTTTTTGACGACTTTCTTGACTGAAGAGGGAAGTCTCGTCAGCAGAGTGCACAGCGCTTTTTACCGGCGAACCCCTGTGCACTCCTCTCCGGCGTTACCGGATTAAAAGTCAGCTCCATAAGAGCCCTTTTCCTTTCCCTTTTGGCCCTCCTCTTCTCCACAGCGGTTTCTCTTACGAGGAATCACTGTGTCACCCTCTTTATTCCCGTTCTCTCCTGAGTCCGAGCGAGCTCGATCAGGAATGGAGAACTGCTCCTGAGCTTCGGCGATCGCTACTCCCCCTTCCGAGCCCAGGAAGACCCGTTCTGGCGAAGAGACCACCACTCTTGTCCCCGTGAGCCCTCAGTCTCCCTCCTGTCTTCGTCTAAATTTAAATTTTTAAGGCCCAAATTCATATTGTTCCCACGAAAAGCTAGGGAAGTCCCCGATCCCCATACAAAGCTTAGCATGCGTGGGTGAGACTAAATACTCTGGTGTTTCGCCCGGTTCCCCAGAAGCATCGTTAGCGACACTGCCAGTGTCATACAGCTCTCGCCACGATAGCTTTCAGCTTGGCTTGGAGGGATGGTCCGCGACAACGGCCTTCTCGGCCCGACACAGGGCTTCACACCTGGCGAGCCGGTTATAACCATCACCATCTGAATAAGTCACTAGCCCACGCCGGCTTTTATGCCAGGGAGGCCAGGACCTTCGACGTCCTATTTACCATCCGGAGACGCGCCCGATGGTGTCCCAGTCACACGGGTATTATCATATTATGAACCTGATAACTTTTAATATGTATATAATTATACTATGTATAATTTTGAAAGAAATATCGTAAAAAATCCAAGAAAATAATTTTTTTACAACATTATAGGCAACGTTATAACAAATTTGTTGACTTGAACTGTTATACATTAAACTGATCTTAAATATGAAAATTCATATTCATATTATTTTTTGTCAAAATAAAAATATTTTATCGTGCACGCGCTTGTTTAACTATCTTATTTTACATGAAATAATGAAAAATGTAAGATTTGATAAAAACAAAGGTATTTTAAATAAAAAATTTTCTAATTGGATTGATCGAGGTAAGCAAATTAATGCCTGCACAATCTTTGGATTTT